CTGGCAACCCGGGGGGTTGAAGACGCCAGGGGTTTTGAAGACACCCAGGGGTGTTGAAGACAGCCAGGGGTTTTGAAAACAGCCAGGGGTTTTGAAGACGCCCGGGGGTGTTGAAAACAGCCAGGGGTTTAAAGACAGCCGGGGTCTTAAAGGGACAGCCGGGGGATTTTGAGACAGCCAGGGTTTTGAAGACACCCATGGGTTTTGAAGACACCCGGGGGTCTTAAAGACAGTCATGGGTTTGAAGACGCTGGGGGTCTTAAAAGACGCCAGGGGTCTTGAAGACAGCCGGGATTTGAAGACAGCCTGGGTCTTGAAGCAGCCGGGGGTCTTGAAGACAGCCGGGGGTTTTGAAGACAGCCAGGGGTCTTGAAGACAGCCGGTTTGAAGACAGCCGGGGGTCTTGAAGACATCGGGGTCTTGAAGACAGCTAGGGTCTTAAAGAAGCCAGGGATTTAAAGCACCCATGGGTCTTGAAGACACCCCATGGGTCTTAAAGCAGTCAGGGGTTTAAAGACACCGGGGTTTTGAAGACAGTCATGGGTCTTGAAGACAGCAGGGGTCTTGAAGACAGCCGGGGGTCTTGAAGACGCCGGGGGTCTTGAAGAAGCCGGGGGTCTTGAAGACATCAGGGTCTTGAAGAAGAGGGGTTTTGAAGACAGCCGGGCTTGAAGACAGCCGGGGGGTCTTGAAGACAGCCATGGGTCTTGAAGCACCCCATGGGTTTTGAAGACAGCCAGGGTTTTTAAAAAACGCCATGGGTTTTAAAAGACAGCCAGGGTTTGAAGAACCCGGGGGTCTTGAAGACACCAGGGGTCTTAAAGCACCCGGGGGGTTCTTGAAGCAGCCGGGGGTTCTTGAAGACAGTCAGGGGTCTTGAAGAAGCCTGGGTCTTGAAGACAGCAGGGGTCTTGAAGACAGCCGGGGTCTTAAGACAGCCGGGGATCTTGAAGAAGCCGGGGGCTTTAAAGACGTCATGGGTTTTAAAGACAGCCAGGGGTCTTGAAGACCCCAGGGATCTTAAAGACAGCCATGGGTTTGAAGACAGCCAGGGTCTTGAAGCACCCAGGGGTCTTGAAGCAGCCTGGGTCTTGAAGCAGCCGGGGTCTTGAAAACACCCATGGGTCTTGAAGACAGCCAGGGGTCTTGAAGACACCCGGGGGTTTAAAGACAGCCTGGGTTTTTGAAGACACCCGGGGTCTTGAAGACAGCCAGGGGTCTTGAAGACAGCCGGGGGTTTCTTAAGACAGTCATGGTCTTGAAGACAGCCATGGGCTTGAAGACAGCCGGGGGTTTAAAAGAAGCCAGGGGTCTTGAAGACAGCAGGGATCTTAAAGACAGCCGGGGGTCTTAAAGACGTCAGGGTTTGAGACACCCCAGGGGTCTTGAAGACAGCCGGGATCTTGAAGACGCCAGGGGTCTTGAAGAAGCCAGGGGCCTTAAAGACGGCCGGGGTCTTGAAGACAGCCTTGGGTCTTGAAACGCCAGGGGTCTGAAGACACCCCGGGATCTTAAAACAGCCGGGTCTTGAAGCAGCCTGGGTCTTAAAGGACACCCGGGGGTTTTGAGCACCATGGGTCTTGAGACACCCGGGGTCTTGAAAAGCAGGGATCTTAAAGACATCCATGGGTCTTGAAGAAAACCGGGGGGTCTTAAGCACCCAGGGGTCTTGAAGCACCCATGGGTCTTAAAAGACAGCCAGGGGTCTTGAGACCCCCATGGGTCTTGAAGACAGCCATGGTTTTTGAAGAAACCAGGGGTCTTAAAAGACAGCCATGATCTTGAAAACGCCATGGGTCTTGAAGAAAAACCGGGGGGTTTTTTAAGCAGATTGGTCTTGAAACACCCTGGGTCGAAGACGACCAGGGGTCTTGAAAAACCCCATGGCTTGAAGACAAGGGGGTTCTTGAAGAAGCTTGGGTCTTGAAGACAACAGGGGTCTTAAGAGCCAGGGGTCTTGAAGACAGTATGGGTTTTGAAGGCAGCCAGGGTTTTGAAGACGCCAGGAGTCTTGAAGCAGTAGGGTTTGAAGAAAACCCAGGGTTGAGACAGCATGGGTTTAAAGAAAACCCGGGGGTCTTAAAGAGTCATGGGTCTTGAAGACACTAGGGGCTTAAAGAAACCCAGGGGTCTTGAAAACCCCTGGGTTTGAAGAAACTAGGGGTCTTGAAGGCGCCAGGGGTCTTGAGAAGCCAGGATTTTGAAGCAGCTATGGGTCTTAAAGAAACCGGGGGTCTGAAGAAGTATGGGTCTTAAAGGCAGCCGGGGGTCTTGAAAAACCCAGGGGCTTGAAGCAGTCAGGGGTTTTGAAAGGCAGCAGGGTTTTGAAGACAGCATGGGTCTTGGGATAACAGGGGTTTTTGAAGACAGCTATGGGTCTTGAGAAACCCGGGGGTTTTGAAGAGTCATGGTCTTAAAGACAGCTATGGGTCTTGGGGGCACCCGGGGGTTTGAAGAAAACCAGGGTCTTGAAACAGACATGGGTCTTGAAGAAAACCCCGGGGGCTTGAGACAACCAGGGGTTTTAAAGACACCCGGAGTCTTGAAGACAAAAAGGGGTTTTGAAGAAAATAAGGGGTCTATTCAAAACCCCCCTTAGTATGCTGGGGGCAGTTGAACATTTTGGGGCCCCTGCATTTATTGGCCTTGGTAAAAAAATACCAAGAAAGGGGTTTTAAAAAGAGTGTGAGCAGACATAGGACTTTTTAAAAGATTTTTCGGTTTCAGGACCGAAATGTTTGCTCTGTGTTTTTCAAACTAGGAAGAGATTTACTTTTAGATGATTAGGGACGTAGGAGGTTAGGTTAGGAAGGTTTGTCGGGAAAAAGGGCCCATGTGCAACAGTAGGCTTCTTCAGTAAATTTAACGAGGCAGCAGGTGTAGCAGTTACAGAGATGATGAAATCAATCCTCAATCTTGGTTAAAATAGTATTTGAGGACTGTTACCTCAAACTCCTCCTCGCTTCCAACTTTAAATTCTTTAATGATAAAGAAGCATGGCGACCCGAAATTTTCCGATCAGTATCTCCCGCTCTTTGGTGGAAGAATGAGCTTCTGAGGGCGATTGGACGGGGCCGACCCCCGTTTTTGATGAGGAAAACGTTTTTGCGGTGAAATTTTTTTGGGGAACCGCTTATTTCCAAGGCTAAAATTTTCATTAATTTAAAGATGATTTTTTACGAGAGGACTACAAGTGATCTGATTAGAGGACATACAAAGCAGGGCACTCAAGAGGACATACAAGTGACATGGCATCTGAGAGTGTAATAATCAATTTTAAAACTTTACTGTCCCCCAATCCTGTTTTCTGCTGCAGCTGCCTCCCCTTTCCCTTCCCCCTGTCTGCTCTGCTATCCCACCCCAACTCCTGCTGCTCCCCCTGTATTCCCCCCAGTCCCCCCCTGTACTGACTTGCCCTGCTCTTCCCTTTTGTGATCCCAGTTCCAGTACAGGGAGTTGCCCTGGTGTCCACCATTACCATCTTGCTAAATTTGATTTTGTCGCTCTCCACCAGAGGCTTGCCATCCTTCAACCTAACAACAACCCATACACCCCATAGTTTAGAACAAGAGGATAGATCTATCAGAGGATAGACGGGGACGTGCGGGAAAATAGAACAACACTTTTAGGGGGAAAATAAGTGTTGCTTTGGTCGAGGGTAAAAGACAGAAATTTTTCAATATTTTAAATCTTGATTTTTAAATTTTAATAGAAGGGGGCCTATGGTAATATGTGCATAGGCTTGGAATTTACTTTTTCTTGGTTAATCGCTTAAAAGAAAAATTGTCAATTAAATTTCAGGGGTTTTGGTATTTTTCTTTATCAAACAAAATTGGGACAGCTAATTATAAAAATTTTCCGTTCTTTTTGGGGTTTCCGTCATCAATCCCTCAATACCGCATCAGTTTCAGGGTCTCAGGTGTGGAAAACCTTGCTGTTTGTGCCTAACGATTAGGGCGACTCAAAAACCAGTTTTTCCGGCATATAAGACCCCCTTTTTTTCCCAAAAAAAGTTTCGGAAAAATCAGCCGCGCCTTATTGTCAAGGCCCTGGTCAAGGTTACGTTTATTTTTACGTTTAGCAGGTTTTAAAAAGTTACTTACAAGGTTTGGTAACAGGGCCCACCAATTTTCCCTTTTCTCGTCATTTTTCTTTTTTTCGCTTCCCCTCGTTGCGTTTTTTTTCCATTGGTGTCCTTCTCATTTGTTCTGTTTTGTATCTCTTTTTCCCCTTATTTCTATGTTGTTCTTTTTACTTTCCCTTTTTTTGGTCATTTTGTGTTATCCAACTGAAATATCTTGACTTAACCCAGGGGTTTCCCCAAACTTTTTCGCTTGTTACCAATTTAACAGCCCATAAAGCATGTTCCCCCCCTTTTACAAAATGGAGTGATATTTAAAAATATTTAGAATTCTTGGGGTTTATACCAGCTTATGTCACCCCGGGTGTCCCAGATAAACTGACAGGTGAAAAAAAGGCACCTCGAAGTATGACGCGTACGGAAGGGCGATCTGGGCTACTGAGTGACTTTTCTGAGATACTTTCAAAATACTTTTGGGTTTTTCCCCACACTTTGCTATATATTTCTTCTTTTTTAATACTGTTATTGTTTTTTTGTTTTTTGTTTTTTGGTTTAAAATTTTTTAACTTTAATAGGTTTCTTTTTCAACTTTTTTACTAAGACAAAGTTTAAAAATAATCTCATACCCGGGTACCGCAGTTTTCTTGATTTTTTGAATTTATACTTTTTTCTGTCCCCCCCCATTTCCCCCCCCAAAAAGGTTAAATTACCCCCCGGGGGGTTTTTTCCCCCCGTTTTTGGGGTCACTGATTAACCCACTAACCTATTGTGGCTCCATTTTTGTTTCTTAATATTCTATTATTAAATATCAATATGTATAATCATCTTTACTTTGACACAGCAAACGTTCCTGATGATTTTTCCTCTTTTTTTTACTAACGTGTGTTGGCCTCTTTCCCCTTTTTTTATCTCATTATTGGTAAACCAAGAATGTCTTTTCAACTCAGGTCTGTGACATGTTTTTCCCCAGGCAGAACTGTGACGTTCTGGTTCATCTTGCAAAGTCAGAACCCCACGACTAATCCTTCAACCCCAAACCCCAATCTCTCACGACACAATACCCTCTCAACCACCACAACAACAAACTCTCAGACAAACTCTCTTAACCCCACACCCAACTTCACGACCAACTACCCTTAACCACCCAACCACAAACCTCCACACAAACTACCCTTCAACCCCCCAAACCACAATCTCCCGACACAACACTTTTTCAACCCCACAACCCCAATCTTAGACACAACACCCCCTTTTCCCACCACAACCACATTCTCCGACACAACTACCCCCTCAACCACCCAACCAAATCTCTCAGACCATACCCTCTCAACCCCCACAAACCCCAACCTCACACACAAACCCCCTCAACCACCGAAAACAAAACTCTCGACACAACTACCCTCTCAACCACCACAACCAAAAATCTTTCCCAACAACTACCCCTCTCAAACCCCCACAACCACAATCTCTCACGACACAACACCCTCTAACCACCAAACCACAATCATCCGACACAACTCCCCTTTAACCACCCAAAAACCCCAATCTCTCATGAAAACACCCTCCAACCACCCCAACCACAATACTCACGACACAATAACCTCTCAAACCACCCCAACCACAATTTCACACACAAATCCCCCTCAACACCCAAACCAAAACTCTCACGACACAACTACCCTCTCAACCACCACAACCCCAAACTCTCACGACACAACAACTTCTCAAAACCCCAAACACAATCACTCACGCACAACTACCCCCTAACCCCCACAACCACAATTCTCATGAACAATACCCCCTCAACCCCCACAACCCCAATACTCACGACCCAATACCCCCTCACCCCCCAAACCACAATCTCTCACGCACAACTCCCTCCACCCCCAACCACAATCATCACGGACCAACCCTCTCAACCCCCACAACCACAATCTCTCATGACACAACTACCCCCTCAAAACCCCCACAACCACAAAACTCACACACAACTACCCTTCAAACCGCAACCACAATCTTCACGCACAACTACCCCCTTTAACCACCACAACCACAATTCTCACACACAACTACCCTCTCAACCCCACAACCCCAACTCTCACGCACAACTACCCCCTTTAACCAAACCCCAACCACAATCTCTCACGAAACCAATACCTCTCAACCCCCAACCAAATCATCCGACCAATACCCTCCCAAACCCCACAACCACAATCTCTCACGACCAAATACCCTTCAAACCCCCAACCACAATCTCTACGAACAATCCCCCTCAACCCCCCAACCCCAATCTCTCACGACACAAGTACCCTCTCAACCACCCCAACCACAATCTCTCACCACAACTCCCCCCTCAACACCACAACCCAACTCTCACGACACAATACCCCCCTTTAAAACCCCCCAAACCCCAACTCTAGAACAAAACCCCCTCAACCCCACAACCCCATTTCTCACGACAAACACCCTTCAACACCACAACAACAATCTCTCAGAACCAACTACCCTCCAAACCCCACCCAATTCCACGACACAACTACCCTCTCAACACCCAACAACAAACTCTCACGACCAACTACCCCCTAACCACCCAACAACAATCTCTCACGACACAATACCCTCTCAAACCCCCACAACCACAAACTTCACGACACAATACCCCCTCAACCCCACAACCACAACATCACGCACAATACCCCCTTTAACCCCACACCACAATCTCTCACGACCAACTACCCTCTCAAAAACCAACAACAATCTCTCAGACAAACACCCCCTCAACCACCCCCAACCACAATCTCCACGACAAACAACTACCCTCTCAACCCACAAAAAAACTCTCACGACACAAACACTCTCAACCACCCCAACCACATTCTCCGAAAAAACCTCTCAACCACCACAACAAAAAATCTTCACGACACAATCCCTTAACCCACAAAACAATCTCTACAACAACTCCCTTCACCACCCCAAACAATCTCTCAGACACAAACCCCCCTCAAACCCCCACAAAAAACAATTCTCCACACAACACCCTCTCAACCCCACAACCCAATCTCTCCGAACAACTACCCCCTCAAAACCCCCACAACCACAATCTCTCACGCCAACCCCTTAAACCCCCACAACAACAAACTCTCAGACAAACTACCCCCTCAAACCCCCACAACCAAAATCTCTCACGACCAAAATACCCCCTCAACCCCCAAACCCCAACTCTCACGACACAATACCCTTCAAACCACCCAACCACAATCTCTCAGACCAACTCCTCTCACCACCAAAAACAATCTCTCACGAACCCAAACCCCCCCCCCTCAACACCACAACCACAATCTCTCACGACACAAATACCCCCTCAACCCCCACAAACCCAATCTTCACGACCAACACCTCTCAACCCCCCAACCACAATCTTCCGACACAATACCCTTCACCACCACAAAAAACAATCTCTCGAACCCCACCCCCTTCAACCACAAACACAATCTCTCACGAACAACTACCCTCTCAACCACCACAACCACAACCCCACGACACAACTACCTCTCAACCCCACAAAAAAAATCTCTCCACACAAATACCCTCTCAACCCCCACAACCACAATCTCCACGAACAACTACCTCTCAACCACCACAACCACAATTCTCACGACCAATACCCTCTCAACACCCCAACCACAATCTCTCACGCACAAAATACCCTCTCAAAACCCCCACAACAACAATCTCTCACGCACAAAACCCCCTTTAAACCCCCCAAAAACAAACCTCACGAAAACTACCCTCTCAACCCCCCACAACCCAATTCCACGCACAACACCCTCTCAACCACCACAACCCAATCTCTACGACACAACTACCCCCTTCAACCACCCCAACAACAAACTCTCACGACACACGTTGATCTCAATGAAAGGGTTTTAGCGAGAGAGAGAAAGGGAGGAAATTTTTCCCCCCCCCCCCCTTCCAAAAAAAAAAAGGTTAAAAAACAGAAAAAATCTAAGAAAACACGATTTATTATGACAAAAAAATGATTTTGTTTGTTTTACATATAAAAATCAAAGGGACTTTTGTCCAGCTCAGAAAAGTTACTTCCTTGGTCTCAGTTTTAAAGTTCAGATGTTAAGTTTATAATTTAGACATATGGCTTAGGGGACGATTACCTCAAAATCCTTTGATATTTACTATTTTTTTTGTATGGACGATGAAGCCCGGTGTGGGAAACGTTTCCCCAATAAACAAACCCCAAATGTTTTACAAGGTCTAAATTATCGCAAAAATGATCAACGTAACATTCGACAACCAAGATTCCCCAAATCAAAGTTTGGTGTAGTCAAAAACAAACTGACTGATGGCAAAATACTGTAACACTTCATACAAAATTAAACAAACAAGACGTGTGTTGCTACCCTTTCCCCTCTTGTTTACAAAGTATAAATTTTTTGT